CAGCTGGGCGGAGCCAGCCGTGATCTTACGGCTGGCTCCGGCCACGTGCAGAGAGATCAGCGTCCCTGATTACCTGCTAACCAGGGACACTGATCTCCAAACAGCAAACTCTCCCTAGCGCTCCGGGAGTCTCACGCTCCCAGCCGCCAAGGAGAGAAACACTGCTGTTTTACTTTTTTTTTAATTCTGACACGGAGCCGTGTCAGAATAGAAAAAAATAAAAAATTGCCCATTGGAAAAAAATAAAGCAAAGATAAAAAGCATTGCTAGATTCCTATTGGCTATTTCAATTTGCAATAGCCAATAGTAAACTAGCATTGTACCTGCCCTCTGCTGCAGTTCTCCATCAGGTCCATCCGCAGAGGGCGGGTACAATACTAGCTTACTATTGGCTATTGAAATATCGGCAAATTGAAATAGCCAATAGGAATCTAGCAATGCATTCCTATCGGCAAAATCTTTTTTTTTTTTCTGTTCTGCTCGGTAACTCTGAGGCTATTCACTCACTGCTGTTCAGCATCTATAAGAATAGGCCGAACAGCAATGAGTAGCCTGCCGGAGTTTCGGCTCAGCCGATCCAGATGTTGGATCGGCTGAGTCGAACTCCTTCTGCACTTCGGGTCAGCCGAACATGCTGAGCATGTTCGGCCGACCCGAAGCCATGCAAAGCAAGCCGATGTACGGCTGATTTCAGCCGATGTACGGCTGAAATCAGCCGTACCAGCCTGAAGTGAATAGCCGAACAGTGTTTGGCTCACTTCACTTCAGGTCGGTCATTCACTTGGCTGCCTACGGCAGCTTAGTGAATAGACCCTAAAATGTTTTGTTTTTTTGAGAGTGAGAAGAAGTATTAAAGAGAAAAGTAATATTAAAAGTTTATTTATTAAAATAAAAAGTTTTGGTTGCCATTAGACTTTAACTATGACAACTATACACATAGCATGAATGACATGCTGCAGAGCCAGTTTTATGTGAGAGAGAGTATTTGTGTGTGTGTGTGTGTATATATATTTGTAAGTAGGTTCAGTAATGGCAGCTGGGCCAGGTAGTCTGTTGCTTGACTTTAAGGGCCACCAAACATGCTACAATTTTACCATACAAACATCTTTAGATTTACCAAAACTATGTTACATAGTTACATAGTATTTGAGGTTGAATAAAGACATTAGTCCATCAAGTCCAACCTATTAGGATCTCATTCTAGGAGTACCTGTATGTAATATGAGGATCTATCTAATCCATCCAATCAGGCAGACCTTTGTACTACATAGTTGTTGGTAGATCTAAAGGAGATTGTACAATCAGATTGTAACGCGTGTGTGGTGAGCTTTACTCTTCAGCTGAGTGCATAAAAACAGGGAATAAACAAGAATCATTGTAAAATAGCACCACAAAAATAGCACCACAGTTAATGGTAAATACTTACAAGTCAAAGACTAAGTAATGGAAACCTTCTTCTGATATGCTCTCATGGAGTCGAACTGCAGAAAATAAGAACAGAGCAATATGTTAATAGCTGTAGCTACACCTCCTCTAAATCTGCAGGAAAGTTAATTCCATTTTGCCAAGTTAAGCTAAAAGCAAATTTTCCCATATCTTGAGGATATATTTAGAAGATGGCAACCGAAAAGTGGAGTTGTTTAATAGAAGAACAGAAATGCCATCAATGACATTGGAAACAAAAGCATCAAAGGGTTTCTAATGCCTCCGGGTTTTTTTTCATATATCTACTGCCAGCAAGCAGTAGATATATGCAAAAAGTTTTTTCTTTAAACGCTTTATCATCGGTTTAAACTTACCTGTGTCTTCACCGCGTGCTCCCGCCCGAAAATCCGAAACTGCTCGGGCAGCCGCAAAGCATCTTGGGGAGGGCGCATGCGCAGTTCCGATTTTCGGCCGGGAAACGAGGAGAGACGCAAGGTAAGTCTATGGACGCGTGCACCTGCATGCAGACACCGTGGGATGGGAAGTGCCAGCAAGGACAGAGGAGTCAGCGCTGGATCGGAGACACGCCGCAGCGTTGGAGAGAAGGCTGAAAATGACAGGAAAGAAGAGGAAGATCGGATTAGGAGCCATCATTTAAGGTAAGTGCTGACATTAACATTGAGGGGAGGGAAAAAAACATTTGACTTGAATGTCACTTTAATGAAGACAATAACATAGTGATCTCCGGTTCTTACAAAACATAATAGCATGTAAAGGGAATGTATAGTGTATTTTCAAGTACAGGTACAAATTTTGAGTTAGTTTACAATGTTTACCTTAAAGCAGGGATGTCCAAACTGCGGCCCTCCAGCTGTGGTGGAACTACGAATTCCATGAGGCTTTGCAAGATTCTCACAGTCACAGACATGACTCCCGGAGAGAGAGATGCTTCATGTGATTTGTAGTTTCACCACAGCTGGAGGGCCGGAGTTTGGACATCCCTGCTTTAAAGTGTATGGATAGCCAAAACATTTTCAATGTCTGTTGTGTCTCCAGGGCAGGAAGTAATGGGAAATCTCTCCACTTGAAAACACTGTAATTTTACCATATAAGGTTCAGTAGACCAAAACAGTACTGTGCACAGGTTGGAGTGAGCTCAGCGAAGCTGCCCTCCCCTACAATAAGCACAAAAAAACACCAGTGTGCTTCTTTAGTGCTACCTTTGTGCTGTTTTGTGCCATTAAAATTAACAATTGTACTGCTTTAAGATTTTTAAGATAATAGCAATTGTTTTTTTCAAGATGATGAAATCACCCAGCCCCCCTACAACAGCAAACAGGCATGAAACTGGGCTGAATGGTTAGTGCTGCATGTGTGCTGGTTTGTGCCCTTTAAATCTCCATTCTATCTCCTTTCGTTTTCCAGTTAGTAACTATTAAAAGTCACCAAGGGTCACCCAGCCCCCCACAACAGCAAAAAGACACGAAATCGGGCTGGATGATTAGTGCCACGCTTGTGTTGGTTTGTGCCGTAAATATTAACTTTTGTGTTGCTTTTATTTTTAGGATAATAGCATTTTTTTTAAGATGATGACATCACCCAGTCTCCCTAACACAGCAAAAAAACATGAACTGGGCTGGTTGGTTAGTGCCAGGTTTGTGCTGGTTTGTGCCATTTGAATCTCCATCCTATCTCCTTTCATTTTTGAGTTAGTAACTGTTTATTAAAGGTCACCAAAGGTCACCCAGCCCCCCTACAACAGCAAAAAGACAAACAAAACAATAATATTTTTATGGCACAAGCGTGGCACTAACCATCCAGCCCGGTTCCATGTCTTTTTGCTGTTGTAGGGGGGGCTGGGTGACCTTTAATAAATAGTTACTATCTCGAAAACGAAAGGAGATCAAATGGAGATTTAAATGGCACAAACCAGCACAAGCATGGCACTAACCAACCAGGCAGGGTTCATGTCTTTTGGCTGTGTTAGGGGGCTGGGTGACCTTTAATAAATAGTTACCAACTCACAAACAAAAGGAGATAGAAAGGAGATTTAAATGGCACAAACGTGGCACTAACCATCCAGAATTCATTTATTTTTGCTGTTGTAGGGGGGCTGGGTGATTTCATCATCTTAAAAAAAACCAATTGCAATTATCTTAAAAATAAAAGCAGCACAAATGTTAATTTTTGCGGCACAAACGTAGCACTTAGGTCTCGTTCACACCTAGGCGTATTGCATATGCGTGTCTGTTGCGCGATTTGCGGTAAAAAAGTTGCGCGACCGTCGCGCGTTTCCGAAGGCTACTTGGCTGTATCCCAATGGAAACGCGCAACAAAACGGCCCAAAGTAGTACATGTACCTTTTCAGGCGTGGGCCGTTTTGTAGCGCGTTAGGGACGGGCGGAAATACGCCAAGGTGGGAACGAGACCATTGAATACAATGGGATTTATATTTTTGAGCGTTTTGTAGAGCGTTCGTCGAGCGTCGAACGCGCTACAAAACGTTCAGGCGTGAACGAGGGCTAAAGAAGCACACTGGAGTTTTTATTTGCGACGATTGTATGGGGGCCAGCTTCACTGAGCTATTGGAGTGCATTTACCCTTATGGAGGGGCTTATTTGCATACATTTTTATCGGAGCATTGTCTGAGTACAGTCAAGTTGCAAACATTAAGTATCCTTAACACAATAACACTTCCACTGCAGGGAAACCAAAGCAAAAAAATAACAGAAAAGTCAGGTAAACTTTTCTCTGAAACTTGCTTGTGAGAAAAGCATAAGATGGAAACAAACAATTTCACCTCAGAAGGAACTCTGTAACGTCCAGATATCGTTAACATCAAAGCAGGCCATTAGTGTCTTATCATACTTTATCAAATGATAAAGTAACTTCCAAAGGTGAGGAGATCAGTTTACAGCTGAATTCCAAACAAACAGTAAATGCCTGTTCCTCCCTAGAACAAAACTACAGTTCCTAAGTGACTCGCACACTGATGAGTGTTTGCTGTAGGACTGAAGACAGACCACTTTGTATTAATAAAATGCGACCAGTCTTTCCAACTACTTGCAAGGTAAACACATTTGTTAGCTCTGCCAAGAGTCGCAGCAACAAAAGTTTGCACAGCAACACTGGCATAATTTACCATGAGCCCCATTACGTATCAGTTTTGCAACTTGGCTTGAAGAATAAAGAAAGCCTTTGACAAATTCCAGGCAATGTTCAAGGCTGAACATTTCTCTTGGTGCTTTATTACATAACAATGTTATCTGACAACTTATTCCTTCTCCTAGTCTGCAAATGAAGGTAACTGTGAACAGTATGTTACATGTAGATGCTGGAAGCCTGGAGCAGTATATTTGAGGGTCCATTCCCACCAGGTCCGTACATTAACCCTGTCCGTTAACAGTGCGGAAGGTGCGTTGCATTGCCATTCATTGAAAAAAATTGTGCGATTAAAAAAAATTGAGCACAGACCCAGTGGGAACGAGCCCTGAGTGAAGAACCTTTTGAACCAATTAAAAAAAAAAAAATTAGAATTTCACTGTAAACAATGCCCCCCTCCCCAAGATATAACCTAGCCCTAACACTTCAGTCTATACTCTCCTTAAAGAATAAGTAGACTTTTAGACAAAGTGCATTATTATTTTGTTGACCCCCTCCCTTGATCCCACCCTCCCTCGCCCTTCTCAAATCTATACTTACTGAGATCCGAGGGATGCTGCTCCACTGTTTTGTTAATATCCAGGGCTGCAAGTCTATCTCTCTGCCCATGTCCATCTCCCTGGTGGGAGTCAACCCTATGGAAGTCTATGGGGCCGTAATGTGCAGTTGTGTCCAGCAGAGGGAGCAGAGTCTTTATCAGGACTACATATCCCATCATGTATTGCTTCCAACACGCAATGATAATGTTTCATTGTTCAGACATTGATTTGAGGTTCAGAAGGGAGACTCAGGGGTCTATACACTAAGCTGCCGTAGGCAGCCGAGTGAATGACCGACCTGAAGTGAGCCAAACACTGTTCGGCTATTCACTTCAGGCTGGTACGGCTGATTTCAGCCGTACATCGGATGAAATCAGCCGTACATCGGCTTGCTTCGCGTGGCTTCGGTTTGGCTGAACATGCTCAGCATGTTCGGCCAACCCGAAGTGCAGAAGGAGTGACAATGTAACTATGAGTTCGACTCAGCCGATCCAACATCTGGATCGGCTGAGCCGAACCTCCGGCAGGCTTCTCATTGCTGTTCGGCCTATTCTTATAGATGCTGATGGACCTGATGGAGAACTGCAGCAGAGGGCGGGTACAATGCTAGTACAATGCTTTTTCTATTCTGACATCGCTCGTGTCAGAATAAAGAAAAAAAAGAAACAGCAGTGTTTCTCTCCTTGGAGTTAGCTGTTTGGAGATCAGTGTCCCTGGTTAGCAGGTAACCAGGGACGCTGATCTCTCTGCAAGTGGCCTGAGCTAGCCGTAAGATCACGGCTGGCTCCGCCCAGCTGTCAGAAGCAGGCTGTCGGTGCATATGCGTTCGGCTCGAGTGAACCGAAGGGGTCCTGGGGCCGAAGCTAGCCGAAGGATCGGCCGAAGCTACGGCCAGATCCTTCGGCAGCTTCGTGAATAGACCCCTCAGTGAGAGTGGACACAGAAGGAAATGCATATTCACAGGGCTGAATAAAATTGTGTCAGTGCATTAAGGTACATCCTATAGGTATCTTCAATAAGTAAGTTTACAAACTTCTAGATTGATATGGTTATTAGGAGTGGGATAGAACTTTGGAAATTCAATATAGAAATATATATTTATTTTTAGTTTATACAACAGAATGTTTCTACAGTCAAACCTCTCCCTTTCATCAGTAACCTGAAGCTCTCGGAACTCCTTTTTTATTATCTGTATTTAATGCAGGAGAGACAATCCCAAATATACCCAATGTAAAAATGTCAAAGAGAAAGTTCAGGCTGCAAGAAGCAGACAAACCCATCCCACATGTGAGAGCCTCTTTGCAATATGGATGCACAGGGTTACAGAGAATTACAGAGTGGGCTTTCTGACTTGT